TCCAGTGTAGGCTCCTTTTTTCATAGGTCCACAGGTCCTGTCAGGTCCTTCTTTAAGGGGTCACCAGGTCACAGCCCCCTTTGGGCATCCACTTGCTGCAGTGTGGGGTCCTCCACACGCTGCAGGTGGACATCTGATACACCATGGCCCTCCATGGGCTGCAGGGGCACAGCTGCCTCATCATGATCCTCACCACAGGCTGCAGGGGAATCTCAGCTCTGGTACCTGGAGTACCCTGAGATTAGCTCAGCTGGTCCGAGAATAGTGCTAATAACACAGAGGTTGTGGGATTGATCCCAACGTGGGCCATTCACTAAAGAGTTGATGTTCTTTCTGGGTGCCTTAGGTTATTCTGTGATCTGAAAATAGCCACCTCCTGCCTCTCCTTCTCCACTGTCCTTGGTGTCTGCAAGAGCTGTTCCTCTCACATATTTCCACTCCTTTCTTCTCTGACTGCAATTAATTCTGCACAATAACTTTTTTCTCTTCTTAACTATGCTATTGCAGAGGTGCTACCCCTGTCACTGACAGGCTCAGCCTAGGCCAGCAGCAGGCCAGTCTTGGAGCCCTGGTGCTGGCCCTGTCACACATGGGGGATGTTTCTATCAGCTTTTCACAAAAGCCACCCTGTAGCATCCTCCACCCCCACAAAAAAACCTTGCCACACAAATCCAATAAATGTTCCCTATATTATGTTGATCTTTTAGGAAAATATTTAACCACTGTCCCACAGCCAGGGAGAAGGTAGTTAAATCACCTTTACAGCACTTTTTAACAGGGGTGAAAAACCTATACATCCAGGAAGAGAGACTTGGGATCAGGATGTTTTCTGGAGTGCAATGTCATGGTCTCCTGAGCTAGTAAAGGAGACAGGGAGCAGAATAGCCCCCCTGTAATCCAGGAGGAAGCAGTTAGTGACTTGCTGAGCCATTTAGATGCTCACAAGTCCATGGGACCAGATGAGATCCATCCTAGGGTGATGAGGGAGCTGGCAGATGAGCTTGCAAAGCTGCTCTCCATCATTTACCATCAGTCCTGGCTTCATGGGGAGGCCCCAGATGACTCAAGGTTACCCAATGTTAACCCATCCAAAAGAAGGGCCAAAAGGAGGCTCTGGGAAACTACAGGCTGACCTCAGTGCCTGGCAAGTTTATGGAACAGATAATCTTGAGTAAAATCACACTTCACCTACAGGACACCCAAGCAATCAGACCCAGCCAGCATGGATTTTGAAGGGGCAGGCCTTGCCGGACCAACCTTATTTCCTTTTAGCACCTGCCTGGTACATGAGGGGGAGGCTGTGGATGTTATCTGCCTGGTAGGCTCTGGAGCACAAGTCCCATGAGGAGTGGCTGAGGGAGCTGGGGTGTTTAGCCTGGAAGGAGGAGGCTCAGGGTAGACCTTATCACTCTACAACTACCAAAAAGGAGGCTGTAGCCAGGTGAGGGTTAGCACCTTCTCCCGGGCAACCAGCAATAGCACAAGAAGACACAAGATGTGGAAGGGGAGGTTTAAGCTGGACATCAGGAAGAAATTCTTCACTGAAAGGGTGATTAAATATTGGAATGGGCTGCCCGGGGAGGTGGTGGAGTCACTACCCCTGGAGGTGTTAAAAGACTGTATGTGGTACTTAGTGCCATGGCCTAATTGACAAAGTCAGTTAGGTCATAGATTGGACTCAATGATCTTAAAGGTCCTTTCCAACCTAGTTGATTCTGTGAAATAGAATGTGAAATTTGATTTAAGTGTGAAATTTAATTTAAGTGTAAAATTTGTTTTAGAGCACATAAAATGGGTTTTCTGGGAGGCCTCACTGACAAAGTGAGGTTGCGTTACCTTGCAGTTACTGAACGGGAGTTACCTGGCTGCAATCCTGCAATCCAGGGGGCGAGCCGCGCACTTCCCCGCAGCAAGGGCGAAGGCGTCAGCGCGGCGCGGCGCAGCGCTCCCCCCGCCGGTCCCCCGTGGGTTCGCCCAAGGACCGCCCCTTGCAGTCCCACCGCGCCCCCGCGCCTCCGAGCTGCCGCGAAGGGAGACTACGTTTCCCGGCGTGCCGCGCGGGCCAGGGCCGTACCGTGTGCGAGGCGGAGGGGGGGCGGCGTGGGGCGCGCGCGGGTTGAAGTGCCGGCGCGGCGGTCGGTAAGTGCCGCTCTGAGCGCCGGCGGAGCGCCCGAGCCCCCGCAGCCCCCGCGGCCGCCTCGGCCCGTGCCGGGACTCCGGGCCGGCCGCGAATGCCGGCCGCGAATGCCGGCCGCAGCTGCGGCCCCGGCGGCGGGGACTCGGTAGTCGCGGGGCTCGGCGAGGCCGGGGCTGTTCGTGGAGGCAGGAGCGGCGCGGGGCGCGAACGCCGCTCCAGGAGGCCCGGCCCGGCCCGGCCCGGCCCGAAGGAGAACCGAGAGCAGGCGGCGCCGGCCCCTCGCGTCCTTCACGGGCAGAGCTCGGGCGCGGGGCTGGGGCCGGAGGGGCCCGGCCGGGGCTCGCAGCGGCGCTGGGTCGGTGCCGCTGCCCTCGGGGCGGCCAGCGGCGCCGCCGCTCCCCGGGCCTCGGCAGGTGGCCGTGGGGTCACCTTCGGGGCTCCGCCGGCAGCGGCACCGGCCCGGCTGGGAACACGAGAGCGTAGCTCGAGCGTGAGGGAACTCGGATGCGCCAAGTTGGGTGAAAGTCAAACAAGTCACCTCACTTTGGTGAAAAAAGAGCTGGAGGTGATCCATCAAGGCAGGGCTTAATAACGAGAGGCAGTGACATCCCAAGGCTTGTTTCACAGCTGACAGGGCCCTTAAGATATCCCTAGGGGTGTCATAATGGCTCATTTACATGGAAAAGGCTCCTCTATACCTTATGCAAAACTTTGAAATACAATTTACTTTAGAGAATTCTATTTCTGTACCTCTTATTGGAGGGGTTTTAGTTATTCCCTTTTTATTGCTACAACATGCTAAGCATGAAAACAGGAACTTTCTTGCTGAAAAATTCAGCTTTGCTGCCTATTTATTTGCTACCTAAAGTTCTCATCTTCTGTTTGTGACGTACAGCTGGCGGGTATGGCAATAGATGTGATGTAACAAACTGCAGATTATACCTTCAGGTAGGAATAAGATACAAGAACAGATGGACCTGCATCCTGCTTTCAATAAAATGTTATTTTAGTAATTGAGAAAGTAAAGGAAAAATAATGAAAAGAGAAGCATATTTTCTGTTAAGAAAATGTTGCTGCACCTTTCACTTTTCAATAAATTAAATTTTGCAGAAATATACAAGGAGCACAGAAATTACTTTTGAAGGTGACAAAGGATACAAGAGATCTCTGTACAAAAAAAAGGATTGGTCCTGCTGGAAGAAACCCCAAAAATTTCTAGAATTACAGTGAGGCAGGGGAGGGAGGGCAACTTTTTATTGGAAAAGTGCGTGTACATTTGGCTGCAGTCAGGAGCCCAGGTTTATTTTCTGTTGATTTTGATCATAGACTCAAAGGAGTCCTGGTCAGCCAGCTACCCATTCTGACATAAGAAAGAGCTGGGTTGCTACAGGCAGCTGTGACAGGCACTGACAGAATATGTCTCAGCTTTTCTGCCTCAGTTACCCAGGGTTTGTAAGGAAATAATAAAGTTTAGCTAAGGTTCATGTACAAAGGTCTCTTGTGTTATATTAGCTTATTTTGCTGATTGTGTTCTTGTGAACTGTTTTTGAAAGACTTGACCTGTGTCACTGCATGTGTTTTTTGGTTACAAGGCTCTGAGAGAAAAGGCACAAGCCAGACTGACCCTGCTAAAGCTTCACAATGAGAAGTAGGCAAGTTTCTCAGTCAAGCCTAGGAGTGGGAGGATTAGTAGACTCCATCTTGATGGGGTAAGAGCCTGGACTGTGTCAAGGGTGCTCTTGAGAGCTTGCAGAAAAGTGACAATACCTTTTGATTTGTGGTAGAAGCAGAAGGAATGTCAGTCATACTTTCTGCACAATACCAGCCATAGGGAAAGAAAAATGTACCAAATTCGCTGCTACGTTTTTTTTTATCTCTGAGTCCTCTACGATGACATAAAGAAATGGAAAAAAAATATATTTAACATGTAATGAGTTACATGTTTATGCTACTTTATATACTGCAAACAATCAATGTAGTGATCCAAAGTGCTTAGTGTGGGAAATGTGTTCATTCCCCACCCTTGTCCCACAGAAAAAAAGTGGTTGACAAGTGTCTCACCCCAGGCCTGTATTGAGCCTGTGATAGAGCTAGGAATAGGCTGTAGATTCCTGCAGATGACTGTTGTGCCGGTACTCCCTGTCTGGCACTTGAATGGGATGGTGATAATGAGAAAACAAACCTCACTTGGTCACTGATCAGGTCTCCCATCTGCATTCTCTGTGGTTGTCTGGCACCGACTGCTGGAGTGGCATACAACCTCCTGGGATGCATTGCCTCTTCCTAGACCACTCATCATCAGTGTGGAACTTTTAGAACTAGCCTGGCAGAGTTTCTTACAAGCTTTGGGTGTTCTTGATGTTGCAAGAACTCTTTTTAAACCTGAGTTTTTTATATCATCTGTTGTCCCCTTAAAATCTGCCTATGCTGTGATAGTGTCAAAAAATTGTGTTGAAGAACTGCCTGTTGATAGGATCAGAATTGACTTTTGGTGATCTTGTGTTTCTGTCTGTCCACCTGTTGTGTCTCCTTGAAAAGCCTTTGGGATCCTGAACAAATGTTTTGTTGCATTTATGCAAGGTCTAGCAGTGAGTTACTTCTGGATTTGTGGCCTGTAGACACTGTTAAGAATTGCAATGAGCAACTTACCCTCAGTTGCTGGGCGATTGTTTGAGCTCTTGGCTGGGGCCATTGCTAGCAATGTGTCATTAGGAAAGGAGCAATTAAAACTTGGATTGTCAGGTCCTCTGGGGCTGTGGACATCAGATCACTATGTCCTTATCAGATGTTACAGTTGCTGTTTTGTATCTTGGCAGAGTTCTCCAGTCATGGCACTAAGGGCCTTGAAATTTGCCTCATTGACAGCAGCTGCTTCTGGCATCTATCTGTATGGAAACAAGTTCCTGGATCCTAATGATTTTGGAGTTGTTCGTGTGGGCCGAGCCATTGCCACTGTAAGTTCTACCATAACAATGTGCAGGAAGATTCCTAGATGGGTAAGGGAATTGAAGTTCATAAGAACTTGTGATTTTCTGCATTCCCTGTCTGCATTTTTAGCTGGCTTAGGAAATCAGAATGTCTGTTGGGAGCTTTTCAAGTTTAGACACTGTGGGGGAGAAAGGAGGTGGAAGCACATAAGGAATACAAATGTTGTTAGCACATTTTGGAAAAAGGAAAATGTAGATACCGAGAGCTGTGTCTGCTTCCCTGGATAGGGTGGGATCTTCAGAGGAAGGGCTCACATTGGGCCCACATTTTCATCAGCCACCCTTCAAGGGCAGTTGCCTGTCCAGGTGTGGTGTGCTGTCTTGTAAGAGTGACTTAGATCAAACCCTCTTCTCTGCATATGCCATTTTTACATTTTGTTATAAGTATCTTGGTTGTGTTGATAAACTAGGGTAACCATTACACTATGACCCTTGGTATGAGATTTGGGGAGAGAAGGACTGGTGTTTTGAGGATCATTCTCAAAGCAAGAATAAAGTGAGGATGGTTGATGACGTACTTCTGAGATTAGAGTGGTTTCCAGAAGTGTAAAATGAATGCTATGTCTGTCTAGCATCACTGATATTTCTCATAAAACTGGGAATGGAGACTGCTGCCTTCTCCTTGACAGTGTTCACTGATGAATCCATGAGCACCCAGGAACATGGAGAGCAGAGACTCTGGAGGGGTATCAGTCTCCCTGCACCTCACTTGCATTATATATCTGTCACTTCAGGCCACAATCTCCATCATTTACAGACCCCCAGTGGTAAGCAGCTGTCTGTCTGCATTTTCTGTGACTTTTAAGGACTTTGCTAATGAGTTTTACAAGGAATCAACTCCTGAGGGCAGATGCAATAAGAAACAAGCTCTGTGGGTTGGCTCAGGTGCCATGTGCGTGCAGCATCATAAACTATTGTGAAAAATGAATATTTATTATGAAAAGGTGAAGGCAGACGTACAGACTGTAATCTTTCCTTCTTACTTAACAAGTGCTAAGCTTCATGCTCTGTCCCTAACCATAAGGTAGTGCTGTCTGGTGGCAGGGAGCAGCTCTTTCCCTTTTAAAGCACAGCAAATTGAGTAATGGAGAGGGAATACAGTTTCTTGTTGCTGGAGGAGAATCTGTTATTTAGGGTGTTTGGGTTCTCCAATGTGTCCTTGAGTTCTGCCTGCTTGACTAATGTTTCTCAGTCTTTCCTAAGCCACTGCTTTTGTGGTAATCTACTGTTTAAGACAAAAAATAAGTGAGAAGTTCCAGTGATGAGGCTGTGCAGTTGGTCTGTGTTTTGAGTGATGGTAAGGCATTACGTTACTGAAAAATAGGAAGTAGGGGAATGGTAATATTCTTTGCTTTACATGGTGGCAAATCACAGGCATACCCGACTTTCATGTTCTCTGCCTTCAGGGAGGTCACAAATCATTGGCTATAAAGTGCTTCACTGGTCCTGCTCTTAAATGCTTTACAGGGTTCTGCACCCATAGCTGCAAGCAGTGACCCCAAAACCAAGTTACCAGTGCTCAGTCTCTACAGGCAGCACAGACTGGTAACTTGGTGAGGGCAGCATGTGTTTAAATCTGTGTGTATACTTTTAAAAAAGAATGTTTTGTCCCTTTCTGAATTACCAATTTCCTCTGGTATGTATGACTGCATGTGTTTGAGTTGCTTTTGAGAGATTCTTTAGTCTTGCTGCACCAGTGACCTCTGCCTTCCCTGGTCATTTTTGGACACTCTCTCATCTGAGCACAGGCAGCTTGAACTGCTGTCATTCCTTAGCCATGGACCAGGTGAAGCCAATAGAGCAGACATGTTTAATTCTAAGAATGTCAGCTTTGGGATTATTCTTTTTGCAAATAAAAGATAAATCTCTGTAGCAAACAAATTATTTTGGATATTAGTGACATCTACACAGACCTAAAGTATCTGTCCTTCAATCTAGCCCTGCCCTGGCTTCTTACCTGGATGCTTGATTTCATCATTGAACCATAGCCAGGCAAAAGCAGACTGTAATGAAGAGACTGCAATTCTTAAGAGCTAGTAAGTTCAGCAGCAGCAGACACAAAACTTTAAGACAAGTTACAGTGGGGCAAACAAAACAAAAGAAAAGCACATGAGGATCAAGGAGCCTGATATACAACTATGAGACTCTGGACAGATTTCATATGAGTTTGTTTAGAGAGATTTGAGTCTGGTTGTATTTTAAACACGTTGGTTCAGTGGTTCTTTGCAGACTCCATAAGAAACTTGATGAAGCTCACTAGTGGAAAATTTCTTTTTAAGCCTCTGTTTAGTGAACTGGCTCTTATATATGGGTAGACAGCTGTTCAGGGGCAGCATTGTGCTATGACTTGGTAAGATCTGAGGATAGGTTTAGGAGCAGTGGAAGAGTACAGTGTTGAGAATTCATTGATACCAAATGGGACATTTAACACTGGGCCAGATGCAAGCTCAGTGAAAGTAATTTGGCATTTGTAAAGGGAGTGATTGGTTGATTATGTATATCTTTTTATAACTCTGAGCTTCAGTCTCACGCTGTAACATGAATGACAGCACTAGTCTTGGATGAGAATGAAGTCAGTGGCGTGGGCATCATCACGTTGCAGAGCGTTTCTGTATTCTGGTAAAATTAGAAGCTGGCAGAGCTGTTGTGCATTTGCTGTATTCTTTTGAGAGTATACCAGTTGTTTTGGTTATGTGGAAGGAACATTCTGTGCAGTAGCTAGACACTGGGAGGGATTTGGCAATGTCAGAGTTGCCTATCAGGATCATCATAATATTAATTTAGTGTTTAAGATTACAGTATAATTAGCAACCGCTTAATTAATTCCATCTCCCTCTGTAATACAGGCCAATCTGTTAGCTGCTTCTTTTTGAGTTGGAGGTGATAATTACCCTTGTGGACCAGAGATAAAATAAGAACCAACTCAAGCCTTGATGCAAGACTGATTCGAACCTCCCTCCACTTCAAAGTTGTTCTTTGAGGCTGTGAAGACGCTTTGAAAAATTTTTCTTCTGTATGGTCTCTGTAGCTGTGCAGCTCCTCACTTTACCAGGGGCAAGAGAGCCTGAAAAGCAAGAAAAAAAAATTTGCTGTGTTCAGTTTACAATTTGGAAATCAGGAAACACGAGAAACCTAACCTCTACAAGGAGGGAGTGTGTCTATTTGTTACTGATTCCTGGCTTGATCCATTCTTGGATGCATTTCTGAGCTTTTGACTTTTTTCCCTATTGTCAGTTCCACTGGCTTTGTCTCAAGACAGGTTTGCTTCCCTAGACTCCCTGATTTCATGATACATTGACTGTACTTTGTGCCCTTCCTGGACATGTTTATGGTGAAAGGTGGGGCTAGTATCCTGTGCCAGAGGAATGTTACCCCTTCTGTAGGGAGATTTGAGGAAAAGTGCCTTTCAATGGGAGTTAGACAAATGGTTTTTCATGGCAAGGATCTTGAGGTTCAAATGGCACATTAGTGGACAGGCTCCTCTAGGTGTATGCTCCCTTATCTCCCTCCAAACATGACTTGTATGTTTCTCTCCCATTCACTGATGTTCTGACTGTGGAAAGAGAGGGACTTTAGTGACAGGAATTGTGAAATACCCTAGATCTATTTTCAGAAATCACTAAGTCACTTAAGAATATAATTCCATTGTCTGTGGCAATGTCTAACTAACAGGTTTGAGGCGGATCCCATTGAGCTGAATCCTGGTTTCCTAATTGGGTATTCAACCCTTTGGCCCCACAGTCCTTTGTGCAGTTGAATATCCCCAAAAGTACTGCTGCTTGTGCTAATCTGAGTTTGTCTTCAGTCACTCTGTTCCCTGCTGAGCCTCTACCCAGAGCAAGCTGGTTAGGCAGTTTGGAGCTATGAAGTGTGGGATAACTGATGGGGCACAGAGTCTGGATGACCTCTGTTACTAGCAGGAGACCTTACTGTGGAAGCCCCACATGGCTGACTGGAGATGGGAGTGTGCTGTGCAAGGTGCTGTACAGAGATTAGGAAAATGCTTTGAGCATCTCAAATACAAGATAATATAGGAGTGTCAAGTGTTGCTTACACATAGCTACATATCAATGATGCCCCTGCACTTCTTTTTATAAGTGTTCATTGAAGTGCAATTATTTTCATTTAATTTATTAGTGAGTCTGCTGCCATAGGCTTCACTGTGGAGCCTAAGGTACATGCATTCTCTTTAACAGAAGTCTTATTGTTTTGGTAACTATAGAGCTTGCTCAGCATTTCTGGTTTCATTTGCAGACAGCAGTTATCAGCTATGACTACCTCACCTCTCTTCGGAGTGTCCCGTACGGATCAGAGGAGTATGAATTCCTCAAATCACAGGTAGGCAATAGCACTAAACTACATTCCTTGGAAACTGCAAGGCTTGGATGTGTTGCTGTCATGCTGTCAATCTTAATAATTCAATATGCTTTCTTCCAGATTGTTAACAGCAATATTAGATAACAACTCCATATTAGGACTTGCATTGCACAATGGAGAAGGTCCTTTGTCAAAGGTAGCCATATGCATTCAGTGCTCACTTAAGTCCAGTAGAGGCTCAAGTCCTTGGGCTCTGCTGCCAGATCTCTGCTGCCCAAACTGGTTGTGTGGTGGCCAGCTGCTGAGAGTGGCCTGGCAGTGCTTTCTTATTCTACATGTTGTTTGGTAATGGCCATAACATGACAGCTGACTGATTTAATTAAAGGAGTGTCTTGAAAAGGAAATAATAAGGATAAATAAAACTGCAGATCTCTGAGGAAATGAAAATTGTGCAAAGTAGTGTACATCTCATTGTAAAACACACTGTTGTGTTTTGATATCAGTAATTAACAATAATATTGAAAGCATTTCTAGTGAGAAGGATGATAAGTCCCACCACTGCTCCTCTCAAATCTTATGCTGCACCTTTCATTCCAGCCATTAGCCCTATAGTTCATTGAGCTGTGAATGACACTCAGTTGTAGTTGAGTGCTTGTGATATATGTTAGACAGGGTTTTTCTGCTATTTGAGTTCAAGGCCTCTTTGGAGTGGGAAGTAGAGCTTGTGCCAAATTAGGCCAGTCTGCATAGTGTGTTTGAAGAAAGGTCTTTAGCCTAATTTTTCTTCTTGGTGCATGTAGGATTTAGGCCACTGATGTGGTTGGTTATAATGCATGGAGTGGTGTTCTCCAGGGATTCTCAGACTGGAGGGACTATAAAACTGGAAACAGCCTTGACTAAGGTAGAAATCAGTGACATTGGACTCCAGCATGCTTTAGTATTCCTCTAGCAGAAAATCCACATCATCAATATGGTCTTAGTATATCTGGAATGGTTTGCAGAATGGCTTCCTTGGGCTTGTTCTCATCCTCTGCTGTCTAAAGATGCAAAGCTGTTCTAATCTTGCTCCCCATCCCAAGTGAGTGGCACTGATGCCCTGGCATAAAATGGAGATGGGTGTGTTGGAATCTGGAGCTTCACTGTCCATCTGCCCATGTCTGCCCTGAACCTTTGAAACCTGGTTTGCGGAAGGGCTGCATGTAGCATCCTCGAGTGACACCCAAGCTGTGGAGTTATCAGTACTATGGACAGCTTATCAATTTACAGCAGCTGTTGCAAATTCCTCACCTTTTGCCATGCGTCTCCATGGTTTCATTAACCTCTGAACCTTTCCATTAACTTTTCATTATGTGGGTTTTGATGATTTGTCAATCCATGCCCCAAGCAGCCAGAAAGGTTCCTGTTTGATAACACTGCACAGAGTTAGCTTGGCAGCCAGGACTAGATGCCAGGACTAGTCAGCCCCTGCATGTGGAAGAGCCAGTGGCAAGTACAGCATGCCAACATGGCCAGCACTAGCCTTCAGCTGCATAAAAGGGCATGAGCTGGGAGATAGGAGGAAGATAGCACAGGCATAGCATGAGTTGGTGAAACTCATTGACCAGTGGAGTCCAGTCCTGCTGTTGAGAGGTGTTATGGAGTACCACCACTGAGCCTGGCAGGAGCAGCACTTGTGGGTTCTTTAGCAGCATCCCTGTAGGGCTTGTGCTAATTTGGTATGGGAGATACTTTGTACCTGGGCAATTGCACACCATAATTTATCTCGGTGCAGTTTTAAGTGGATGGCAACCAAGTCTTTACCACCTTGCAGCTCTTTTAACTCTTTGTGGCCGCTGATTTTGTTGGTCTTGTACTAGCTCAGAATGACTTGTAAGAAGTTACTGCATTGGAGTAGGTACTTAAGATTAGTCACTGGATAGGGCCTAGAGGATGTGAATGCCCTGCCCAAATAAGTGTTTTGTTTTAATAATACTTATCAAAATGTTGCTCCTGCTAGCTTCTGTCCTGGATAGATCTCTAATACTCTCAGCCCTTCATGGTGCTCTCTTTGTTTCTGTCCTTCTAGTGAGGCCAGCTTAACCTGCTTTTCACATACTGAGAGTTTGTAATTTTCTTGTCAGTATATGTATGAATTAGCTGCTAATTTCCAGATGCAGTTTTGGTGCTGTGCCTAGGAGAGAGACTCTGTAAGGCAGGGTGTATCTCTGTGTGTGTGTGTGTGAGAGATTTCATGACTGTGGTACTGCTGGTAGTGCCAAAAAGTCTGAATCTGGCTTTTGTGCCTCTGTCTCCAGTGATGGGGTGCAAGTGCATATATGTCTGTCATGTGCCTTGCAGCTAGGAGTGGAAAATCACTTTTTTCTGTGGATCTCCTCTTGGTACTCAGCATACTGGTGATGCTACTCCAGTGCAAAGAATGCTTAACTTGTTCTCCATGGATTCGCAGTGAGACATTTAACTGGGGTCTCTAAATTACCCATGGCCTTGCATGAGAGATGGGAAGGTTTAGTGGCAGCACCAGTGCCTGAGCCTACTGGGGCCAAACATAGTCATTAGGAAACAATTAAATGCAAAGCAGATTGAGGAGGAAATGAGTTCCCCAGGGACTTTTAGCTAGGTTCTTGCTTAGCTCCAAGGAATTATCTTCACTTTTGCTATATATTTCAGTCCCTTGTGGACCAGTTTTAATGCTAATACTCTAAGCCTCTCAGTTCCCTGCATTTTTTTATGACTAGCAGATGGGCCATACTATGGCCCAAGTTTTACTACTTTCCATGGGGAGGCAAGCAGTAGATGGGAAATCACTGTGTGTCCTGAGGTTAGTTTGCCTCTCCCTGGATCTTCTATCAACTAGGAGATATGAGAACCCACTTGCCAGATGTCACACATTGCTGTCCCTCAGCAACAGCCATTTCTGATTTCTGCCCCTGCCTGAGGCAGAGATGAACATCCTTATGTGCTTGGGCTTTATGTCCTTCCCAATGGTTGCTTCATTTCACCACTGATGGCTCAACCACATGGGAAATTCAACCTTTCTCCTAAGTCTGGGGTCCTTTCCTGGTGTGTGGGCCCTTTTCCTGCATATGATGGTACTGGCAGTGTACTAATGTCAAGGGCAGTTGTCAGTGGTTGGCTCCAAGACATTGTCTGTCTATAGGTCTAGTGTCAGGAGTATTAGGGGAGGTATGACCTCTCTTCATTTAATTTCATTCTGTTCCATTAAATGATTCTGGGCATCTTTGCATATGTATGTAAGCTTGGGCATTTCTTTTCATTTCTACTCCTTTTTGCAGTGGGCCAGAGGAAGAAGGAGGGCAGCCTGCTCAGTGCCATTCCCTTACCTATTGTTTTCTTAACAAAACATTTTATTTTATAGAAGGCTACATTTCTCTGACATTCTTCTGCTTCAATGAATGCTGGCCCTTCACAGTGTTTGTCTCCTCAGTACCAAGTCAGCCTACCATGTGACATTTCCAGTTGCTCTCAGTATAGCATCTGGATGTCTTGGCTGACACTTCTTCATTGCTGGCATCAATTTCTGTTGATCTTGCTGTCAGTCAGGAGGTGTGTCACAATATGCAGTTTGTTCAAGGGCTAGTATCAAAGGAATTCTGAGTTGTCAGTGTAGTAAGAGGGTTGCAATGGGTCAGTTGTTTTCCAGATTTTGGCACAAGTGGCCACAGTTGAAAATCTTGAGCAGGACATCTTTTTGTTGTTCTCCTCTGTAGGACAAAAGGTTGCTGCTGTGAGATTTTTTTTTTTTTTTTGTAATGAAGAGAAGACAGCAAGGAGAAAAAAAGATCTGTGGTCAAGGTATCTCAGAATGGGAATCCATTCTTGAATTAACTTTGTTGGCTAAAAAATTGCTTTATCACAGACAAGCCTTTTGGGGAGGTTAATTAAATGTCCTCCTTTTGAGAGCAGAATGAGGATGTTCTTGTCATTCAAACTTATGGTGATTGGGCTGTCAGTACCTGGGCAAATATTTGGAAAGCATAACCTTGTGCTATCATTATACAGAATATGATTTCTTGCACCTTGGAGGCTCTTCCTGGCTTTGCTATGTTTACTTCTCACAGTGGAGTGGGTATTTTCAAAGTGAGTTTTGTCTCACTGTGAAGTTGCACAGTGGAAGGATCTTGAGAAGAAGAGGAATGAATGTATATGTGTGTGTGTTTTCAAAAATAATCTACAGTTTCTGGGTAGTTCAGACCAATGAAATAGCCTGTGTCTTTGGACTTCTGTTGTGATTCAGTAACACTATGTGCCTTAAATATTAAGTGATGTCCTAAAATAGTTTCTTTCTGGTGGAAGTAGGCTGCAGAGAGAAGTCCTCGGGAACTCTCCATGGCATTCCTTCAAAAAAGCAACTGTGAATGGGGACTATGAGCTGTTCTTCACCACAGCCAGTGTGTGCAGTGGTGCATCTACTTGTGCTTCAGTCTCTGGTGAACTGAGGTGAGAAACAAATGAACTTTCTTATAGGACACAAAATAGCCATTAGGTCGCAGTGACTTTCTGTCACCAAACGAAATGGGAACCAGTAATAGAGACGTGAAGAGCTTCAGAGCCCATCCACAATCCCTGAGTTGATCATGTTTGGTTGCCCTATTATGTGCTCCCAAGGATATCTCTTCATCTAAAAGGCATGGTCAACACTAATGCAGTCTAAAAAAGCTACTATCTGGCCCAGCTGGTGGCTTGATGACTCTACATTTGAGCACTGCTGTCTAGCAAACTTCCTGCCAACACATGAAGCATGAAAGCTTTGCACTGAAAACATAACAAGCTGTAAAATAAATCTTATAATGATAACACACTTCCTTTTCCTCCTTGTGCTTTCTGGAGTGGTGTCATTTGAATGCTCTGGCCATAGTATCTTTAGGTTTTAATTTTGTAGCATTAAAAAGGTCCATTTTTGTGGGATCTGTGCCTGTGAAAGTAGATGTTCTTCATTCATCTGCAGTGATTTATTCAGAGAAATGGCCCATCTACTGTGACATTTTTGAAGGAGGAAGAAG